GGGGAAAAGGGGAAAGAGAGGAGGAATACGTACAGGGAAGGAAGAGTGAAGCTGAGAAGGAAAAAATAAGTTCCCTAAGAGGTGAAGAAGAAGGGAAGAAAGAGAGAGAAGAGAGAGAGAGAGAGAGAGAGAGAGAGTCGAAGATGAGAAAGATGACGAAGAAGGACTTGAAGAGCCTCCAGGAAAGAATTTGAAGCAGTTGAATGTAGTCTTTTTGGCCTCGATTGTATAGCTGGTCTGGTTTGGTCTGGTCTGGTCTTGTCCAAGCAAACAAGCAAGCAAGCGAATTGAGAGAGGGGGAAGAAATCGTTGAATTGAAACCCGATGGAGAAGATAAAACAAAAAGAAAGAAGAAAAAAAGAGAAAAAAAAGGAGTTTCAACCAGTATGATCCTCTTTCTTTTGTTTAATTCTGCTTCTTTCGTTCAGGATTCTTCTTCCTTTTCTGTCTCTTTTCTGTTGCTGCGATCCCTAGGGCACTACGGGCCAGATGCTAGTGAGGCAGCTCGTGGACGCGCACAGGAGGAATAGAAGGGAGAAAGAAGGGGGGATACAGAAGTGAACAAGGAGAACAGCGAGATGATGAAGGAGTGGAAGCACTCAGAAATCCCGACGCCTGTGAGAAGGGAAGCGGATGGGAGGCGGATGGGATGAGGTTGGGGGTGGAGTTGGGACGAGGAGTTGGGGACGGGGATGAGGACGCTGGCTGAGTAAGTAAGGGAAGGGAGAGCGAGGAGGACGAGAAGGAGAAGAACACACGGACACACACACACACACACACACACACACACACCCCTGCGGACAGAACAAGACAGAGCAGAACAGAACAGAACAGAACAGACAAGGCAAGAACACGACAGAGACACAGACAGAGGGAGAAGAGGAAGAGAGAAGAGAAAGAGAGAAGAGAGCAAAAAGAAACAGGAGATGGATGGAGATGGGAGATGAAGCAAGCGAGCAGAGAGCGAGAGAAAAAAGCGATCGATCCGGATCCAGCGAAATCCAGCCAATCCTGCCAAGGCGCGGCTGCCCCGGCTACGGCTGCCCGCAGGCCCCATATGCGCCGTCCCGCTAGCCCGATACGGCTAGTGTGGCTCATGGGTCGCTGCTTACTCATGCCATCTGGTGCAGTATAGACCCTGCCCCTAAAACTTGCGGTTCCCCAACCCCGGCGGGCCCGTAGTCCCCACCTACGGAAATGGGCACTAAACTAGCTAGCTAGCCTTGTGGGTTTTAACTAGGGCTGCTGAGGTAATAACCCGTCACCAGTTGGGCATCTTCAGGAATCATCCTCTGCATTTCCCTTTATGATACGTCCAGAAATTATCCCGTTCAATTACCAGATGTTCCTTGTTGGGGCGGTACATGGACAACATTCCGATGGATGCCTTGGTTTCCCTCTGATGGAAATTGCCTCACAAATGTCTTTGTTAACCTGCACTGCTCGTGCTCTGGTCCGGCGCACTCCCGTTTGAACGCCGCAGGAAACGCTTCGAGTTTTCCCTGTGCTCCCATTCCCCACTCCTACTCCCTTCTGGCCTATTCTATATACTTCCTCCTGCACCCCGAAAATCAGCCAGCATTCCTTCTACCACACGCCATGCCAACCAAGCAGCCGGCCCCGGCCCCGGCCCCGGCCCCGGCCCAGCCCCAGCCGTTGTTGCAGGCCCAATTGCAGCAGTCCCGCGATGAGTCTCTGAACACCCTGTTGGCCATGGTGAACCAGACGGTACATACACACATACACCCCCCTTGCAAATACCCTTATATATACATGTATGAAGCTTTGAAAGCTAATCTCGCAATCAATCCCCGCCCACCAGCTCGTCGAAACAGGCCGTTTCTTCCGCGCCTCGGGCTCCACGATGCGCTCGCGTACGCAGCTCAAGCGCGCCGTCCCCCTCGCCCACGAACAGTTCCAGAGGGCGTTGGACGATTTGTCGGAGCAGATTGTACGTTTCATATCGTATTTGCATATACCCCTTCCTTCCCCCCCCATACTCACACACTTTTTTCTTTCTTTTCTTGGTTGGATTGCGGCCTGTGCTAACCTAACATGATTCCATTCTCCAGTATATCGCTAAAGCATTCCTCGAGCGGGACTATGAGGCCATCTTGCAGCGGAAGGCTCTCCTGAGGGTGAGGAACGGCCTGTCGGGGGGTGATAACAATGCTGCTACTGCGCAACCGGCGGACGACGGGGGGGTCAAAGGGCGGCACGAAGGAGTGGTGAATAATAATAATAATAATAACAATATCGCGCCATCGCCGCAAGTCCCAGCTCCTACTGCTACTACGTCAACTACCCAACCGAAGCAGCAGGAGCAACAGTCGTCGTCTGGAGAGGCGCAAATGCAAACGCAGCAGCAAGATCAAACTCAAGGTCAGAAGCAAGCGTCCGCGAACGGGTCGAACGAGGGGAGTCATATGGCGACGCAGTCGTCGGCATCTGCGCTCCCTCCTCCTAATGTTATTGCTACCACTACTGCTGCAGCCTCCGCCAGCATCGCTGCTCCTACTATAGACACGGCTCCCGCCATCATGGATTCAATGGCCTTCGACTCCCTCTTCCCCCATCCTTCCACCGATAACAACGATACCACCACCACCACCACCACCACCACCACCACCACCACCACGACGAACAACAAAGATAACCAAGACCTACCCATCTCCTTCACCATAGACGACGTCAACATCAACAACAACGATCCCTCCTCCTCCACCGCCGCCGCAAACCACGCCTTCCTAGGCCTTGGCATTGATAGCACCAACCCCAACCCCAACCCCAACCCCAACCCCGATAACACTAATAACACCAACAACAATCCCAATACCATAACCAACACATACCCCCCAGACCCCAACCCCATAAACCCCCTCTCCGCCCTCCTGCCAGGCCTGGAAAGCTACGCCAGCGCCGTCTCGGCGGACGAGTTCGGCTTTGACGGGCTGGACGACGCGGATGGCCACGCGACCCATGGCCGCGGTTTCGATAGCGGTGGCTTTCTACGTGAATATGGATATGACTCTGGATATTGATATGGGGGCCGGCGGGTGGGGG